AATGAAAGTGATGTCAATTTCAAATTCACTGAGCTAGCAAGGTCGTCTGCATCTAAAGAAAATGCCGTGAATGTGGAATCTTCAGCTATTTGAGGGGTTAGCGGTCGCTGATCTTACAAAAACAATGAACAAATAAAAAAAAATCATTCTTCCTTCTCGTTACACACTCGATCAGCACCTAGATATAAATTTCTGCTTTGAGGATGCTTTATTTCCGCTCTTCTGAGCTATCATCAGAAATTCATTGCACAGTATAGCATGCCTCGACAATTGAAATGAGTGTCTAATTGCTAAAAGGGACAATATTCTGGTCAAAATAGAATCTGAAAGCTCAAGGTCAGAGTTGACAGAGTATTGATAAAAATAGAATGTCTTGCCTGCTTTGAAAGGAGTGATTTGTAAAAAGAGCGAAATCATTGAAGGCGGAGTAAAAGGACTCTTGGCTGGACAAAAAGGACATACCAATCCAAACTGCAATGAAATTACACAAATCGCGGAATCTTACGCCTATGGCTCATTCTCTGGCCTTTGGTAATACTAGGTAACGGCATATGGAGGGATTATAAAAAGATTTACGGGACTTGATTACCAATAGAAAGCCATTAAAATTGGTTGTTTCAAAAACCTTCTACTTTCCATACTTATCTTGGAATATTTAAACTTATATATAAACTTTCTATTGGAGATCCGCCTTTAGGTTCAAGTAGAGACTGGTCTATGATTGGCATTCTGCGCAAGTTAGTTTATGGTAATTGAAAGTTACTATCAGAATGAAATTTTGTAATAACCGAGAGTGCGGAGAGTGGTGTGTTTATACTTATCTTGAAATATTTATGACATACTTATCTTGGACCCTTACATTCAAATGATCATATCAGCACGAAATTTGACAGATAGAACAGATAGAATCCTTACTAGCAAGCTAGCTAGGGACATCGCTAGTTTTCATTGAGTACCCAAGCAGTCAGTTTTCCATATAACGCCCTTTTTTCAAAAAGAGTAAATAACAGCCTTCAGTAGTTCAACAAATAGCTATCGCTAGTAAACTTACATTGTATGGTTTGTATGAGTCCTTAACGATATCTGTAAAGAGAAACAACAAAATATAATATTGAAAAACATTTAATATTGTTTTGGTGACACGTTTTCTTAAAAAAAAATTCACCGATAAGAGTACAAACCCTTTTGTATTTTATATTCAATTTAAGATTTCTCTCTAGAAAACAATTACAAGCACTATTTTGCCATTACAAGCACTATTTTGAAAGTCTATTACTCTTCGTTTAGTGGCAAGATTTTTAAGCAATATAAGCCATCTAATGGGCAGCTACGGGGTAAAAGTTTGGAATGCAGAAAAGTAGCGTTTCTCGGGGTGCAATGATGCACTTATTTTGAGTGAACTATCCTGGCTGTATTTCTTACCTTTATGCTATTGGTTTAGGGAATTCTCTTTTCGTACTTACAAGATGAAAATTTAGTGAAAATGGCATAATATCTTATAAAATCTGATCTCGAGGTCACACAATTTTTTCAGGTCGTTCGTAAAACAGACACTCTCTAAGCCAACGATTTGGGAATTGAAATAATTAAACCATGACAGAAAACTAACTTTGGTACAGATGCGCACATCCAATTAAATATTTTGGATTAAATAATTTGAACAAATAAAGCAACAGGTTGTCCCAATAATCGCTTTTTGATACAACTAATAAATGTTAATTTCCTCTTTCTGCTAATTTAGTCTGTAAATATGAAATTTGGAGTGACAGTTGAATATGGCATTTTGGTCCTTTCCATGCCAACGTGAGATAAGCAAACTGTAATAAGAACGTTCTACTCTTTCAATCTTGGCATCATCAAATAACTTCATAAAGATTGAGTGTATATTCAAGTAGGTGAACCTGGAAAAATCAATATTTAATATCATAGCCATAGCATAGTACTTGGTTAGTTTACTTAAAACCTGACAGCAATTGGCTCTTCATCGACTAAATTTTTTTCTGCAAACGGGCAATTTTTCTGCTATGCTATGCTTGATAATGGGATATGCTCGAAACGTCGTTATTTATTTAAAAATATTTTTTCTGGTACAATTTACTTACATTGATCGTTATTATAGCATTATATTGTACCGCACGCAATCTAGTATATTTATTAAATTTTTCTGCCACCACCTTGATTTTTTGGGTAACTTGCAAAACTGGTTGCTATTCTGAAGACTAACTTACCAATTGAGTTTTCTCTGCTACACAGCTTACATTTTGACACAACACTAGCATGGCCTCTACCACCTTTAAGGGGAACAGAATCCTACAAAAAGGGTATTAAAATCATTCAGAAATAAAGGTAGAATGAAGGCACATTTTTTTATCTGCAGATAATTTGCCGTCACATAGCATGTCTTTACAGTTAAAAACCATGCAAATCAACCATTCTCATACTAATAAATGTCACATATAACAGGATCATAAAAAACAATTTGTGGAAGAGGAGGTAGGGTATCTGAATTTTGTAGCATAATATAACATGTAGAGGGAACATTTGAAAAGACACATGCTTATGATTACATGAATCACTAACTAAACCACCATTTGAACTCTACATTAAAGTAAAAAACAGCCTCTCAGTAAAGACCTGTTCAATCATGAAACCACAAATATTGATCAACACATCAAACATCCTACACAGATGAGCAAAAAAAGTAATTGCAAATTATAAATCAAGCAATGTCAAGTCACCAGAATCAATCATCCAATATAGTGATGGCTCAAAAGAGCACTGCATGAGACACCAGCAGCAATTTTAGAGACTACTTTGAAATAAATGAAAACATAAAAAACACAAGAAGCAATGGAACATTATTGAAACTGTGGAATCCAAGGCTAGAAAACTCTAGAGGCTCTTTCTACTCCACAAGAGCAAATGTGATTTTTGTCGCCAGCGACGGCGATTTTTGTCGCACTTAGCAAATGATTTTTGGTCTTCACCTCATAATGAGCCTCAATGAAAAAGGCCAGAAATCAAATCTTTTATAACCCATGTATGTGCCTGGACATCCTAAAAAATTACGGGATGGGAAAATTTAAACAGAAACAATAAAAAATAACGCCAGCTTTGATTATTTTACCAGGCCACATTTAATGACAAAAAAATTAGGCCCACAATGGTAGATTTAGCTTCGCCTAAACTAAGCTACTTATTTTATTTTCTTCTTTTTTGTACTGTAGAGAACCCAAAAGATGGGTTTTATGCACACTTTGTTTGTTATCTGTTTTACTGTTAGTTGCTAGTAGATAATAAAACCAACATCGTACGAGATTTGTCGCTTTATAGGCAACCCATACTGCTAAAAGGATAAATTAGTAGAAGTTCAAATTTGTTAGTGCAATGAGAGAGAAATCTTGCTCGTGTTTATTCAAATAAGTTTAAAATAATTGAGAGCAGTAGTACCCGCCCGTGGCACCAAGAGCATCAGCAGGCTCAGCCACGGCTGCAGCTTTTGCCGTCCTACCGTCGTATTGTCGAGAGGATATGGCGTACAAGCAGGGTTTCTGGCGCCACAAATCGACTAACAAATCCTCTTGATGCGTTGTCCAAGAGAACGAACATGTTCCATCTTGTCAACTTTCTTAAAAATCAACAACACTTTCCACGTGCCTTGAAAACACTTTATGATTGGCTGATCAACAAGAATTTGTTTTTGCGCCTCGCAAACTTGCGATTTTCAGTTTTTAGTCGCTGGCGACAAAAAGATATATCTTGCATGCTAGATATTTGTTTCTGTCGCTGGCGACAAAAATCCTGTGATGTTTTCCCCGCCAGCGACAAAAATCGCCGTCGCTGGCGACAAAAATCGCTAGTGTGCGCTAGGCTTTAGTAATTAGTAGTGCAGTTATGGACGCATAGTCAGAGTAAATTGCTTGCTGCTCTATTGTTAGCTAATTATAGGTTGTGTAGAGGCTTCTATAAAATTCAAACGATCGCAGAAATAGAACTGATTATTATGTGTCACATAGAGAGTTCTTAGTTTTGTTTCACAGTTAATAGGCAGGGCATTCCTCGCAACCATCGACCGCATTGCCTAACCTTTGTTTTCTCGGCTGATTATGGAACACTATGGTATAACGAATAATTTAAGCCCTTACAACATTTTCAAAAACTCATCAAAGTCACGTTACCGATGACGCCAAAAAGGTTATGTTTCCTAGTATCAAAACCATTGTAACTTCTTAAGTATACGTCTGACTTCATTATAAACGCTAGATTCGGGCTCGCCTGAAGAAGAGCTTTCCAATGATATATACATATCAGTATTTTAACGATGTCAGCAATTTTCAATGATGACGTCATCACTTTCAAAATGGCCGTCGACCAGCGAGCTGACTCTGATTTTGCTAGGCACAATTTGGCATTATCGCGATTTGACATTATGCATGATTTTGCTTGACACTTTCTTATAACGGAGAAGAAGCCCCTTCTTCGCCATCCACAGTTTTTCATTATTATTCTTTTAATTTTATTAATTAAACCTAAAATAATTGTTTCCGAAGACCGGACCTGAAGCCGTCCGTACGAAACCGACCTTGCACAAAGGCCAAGGCATTGGCATTGCCAGGAGGTAGGAGGGAATAGTTATTATATAGTTTATTACTTTGTTTAATACCCCTGACAGGGCTAGATAACTTGCCAATCACTCATAAGGTGCCTGTCTATCCAGTATGCAAGGAATATACCTTGATTCTTTCTTAGATATGATCTTGACATATTTAATATTTTTGTTCGTGCGGATGAAATGGGGAAGGCAAAGATAAACCAAAATATGTGAACGAATGCTGACTTGTATAGCCAGGTCAAGGTGCTGATGGGTTGCTTTTATCAATTCATGGGTTTACCAACGTCTTTTCCAAAAAACACACACAGTTAATGCCCATAGGCAATGGCAGATTGATGCAAAAAACTGTTGATTCTTGAAAATCGTCAAAAAAACTGAAAAGTGTCTTGAAATCGCTAAGCTGGACAATTTGTCTGCTTTGTTGAGCATGGTAGCAGCTTTGCAGAAAAGCAACACTAAGCTACTTTTGCAAACAGTGCGAAATATGATTATGCTTACATTTGCATTGAATCACATCAACTATGCCCGCTACTGTGCATACCAGCATCTGCTTTTCCATTGCACTTCAATCATTACAGGGTGAGGGTGAACAAACTACAGCATTCCAAGATTGGAATAAATAAGGATTTGGCGGAAATTTCAAAACAAATTATCTGCAATTCATTGCGATTTACATACAGAGCTATTTAATAAAGAAGCTGAAGGGACTGCAGGTCCATACAGGTCTGGCTTCAGCAAACGTTAATGCGGTTAACACTTGGATTGCTACGTCCCACATTCATAGCAAGTTTAGAGGGGCTCTGGAGCAATACTTTTTCGTAAAGTCATCATCAATTCACAAGTACAGCATTCCAGGTGGGACAAAGCTCCTTCAGAAGCATAATGATAGCCTTAGAGAACTCTTCAAAGCTATGTAACCAATCGGCTTTCTGCTGCTCCTGCAAAATCGACTTTAACTGGTGAAGAATTAGATTAATAAAATTCTACTGACCTCCTTGCAGCGTCGATCATGGGAGAAGAGAATATGCATCGCTTCACAAATGATCGCCTGATTAATGGCAGCGTTTAATTCTTCACGCCGATCAATAAAAACAAAGCTGAAGACAGATCTGGAAAAGGTCAAGGAACACAAAACCGTGGTCAAGGAACACAAAAACAGGCCTTTAACTACTCATTTTGAAGGCAGGAAGTCTGCTAGAGGCATTTACTCATCCCCTGACAACCGTTCCTCTTTCAATTACTATCGCTACAGCTGGTTTAACTTTGTGTCAGTCAGACAAAGTAACTTTGCAACGACTCTTGCTCGAAGAGTGGCAATGGATCAAAGACATGCCTCCTCCGTTTGGATAGTAGACGGAGTGGCAGCAGTTCGCTCCATCAAACCGATGCCAACGTACCGAGCACGGATGCACAGCCTTATCAAATTTGTTGCTCCTGAAGCTGGGTATAAGTTGGTGAACCTGGGCCAAGGGGTCATTTAGAAGTTTATTACCAAAACATGTTGCAAGGATTTAAATGCCACGATCTCCTGTATCGAAATTAGAAGCAAATTGATTTTATAAGACTGATTTCTGAAAGAAGACACATTGGGCTTTTGCTTTTCTCCATGTAAAACGCAAATGGTTCCCATTTCGGAAGGGATGCTTGCATTAATCTACAGGCTTTACATGCTTTATCTGGGTGTAATTCTAAATCCTATTTCCGCAACGTAGGAAAGGTAAGGTTGCTGAAGACAGTCATCAAGAGCCCGCGATACCTTGAACTGCTTGACAGCCTTGGAGAACAAAAAGTGGTTAGTGATAGCGATATAGAAGATTTTCACAAGTTTGTTCAAATGGTAATGTATTCTGGCAAGGTCAAGAGAAGCTATGTGGAAACAAGACTAAAAATGTACAACAAAATGAAACTAACATTAAACTACTTCCTGATTCACATTCCAAGAAGATAGCCTACTGCTGGTTGCGTTGCGTAGAACTATCCGTCAAGACTTTTTTTCGAAAGTTGTGGCTGGAAGGGTATTCTGAAGAGTCTTCCTTGAAATCTTTTTGCTTCACGTGCCCCCTGCTGCCTCCTTCTTTGAAGTCAAGACGGAAAAACAAGAGCCGATTTTCAGAAAGTGTTGGGGCAGATGTCGAAAGTTGCAATGAAAACCTCCCTGCTCTGAAGAAATGCAAGAGATGTACAGAGGTACCGAAATAGGGCCGTAGTGTCGACGAAATCAACGCTAGTAACGAATACAAGGTAACAACAGACCAGGTAGACTCTGACCTAAGTAGCACTGAACATTCTGATGAACTAGAGAATGAACGGGAAGTTTATGACTTCAGTTCGTCGGAGGATTCGGGCGGTAAATGGATATGAGGCGAATATATACCGTAAATCCTCGAATTAGTCCCCTGGGGGCTTATTCATTTCTTATATTTTTGGATGGGGGCTTATTCCAAAGAGGGGGGGTTATACGAGTGGGAGTTATAAAATTATTGTAGACATTAAGAAGACATTAGTAAACGATCCAGAAATGCGTTTGATTAGATCAGAGCTTTTGTCTTAAAATGTACTGTTCGACGGCCATTTTGAAAGTGATGACGTCATCATTGAAAATTGCTGACATCGTTAAAATACTAATATGTATATATCATTGGAAAGCTCTTCTTCAGGCGAGCCCGAATCTAGTCATTTATTATTGACAGCATTTATATTGAAGTCAGACGTATACTTAATAAGTTACAATGGTTTTGAGTCTAGGAAACATAACCTTTTTGACGTCATCGGTAACATGACTTTGATGAATTTTTGAAAATGTTGTAAGGGCTTAGATATTATTCGTTATACCATAGTGTTCCATAATCAGCCGAGAAAACAAAGGTTAGGCAATGCGGTCGATAGTTGAGAGGAATGCCCTGCCTATAACAAGTCACCAGCTTCTCGAATAACAACATAACAAATCAGTAATCAGCAAACACATGGCCCATAATCCCATTATTTTCCTTGAAAAAACCATGTTGTCAGTTACTTCTTAGCATTCCTTTTGAATGCTAAAAAAAATTTGGAGCCCTTTTTTTAATTGCTGTTGATGCTTCTACCGAGAAACTTTAGGGGAAATAAAAACAAGGCACAATTTACCTAAAAAGGGCCTGGATTTTTGAGTTTATGGAGCAACTACCTTTGCATGATCCTTTACTGGTTTTAAGACATGAAGGTCTCTGAACTACCTAAAGTGTTTCTCCCGCAGATTTTACCTGAAATTTTACTATTGAGATACTATTTGGGAGGGCGCTACACCCCTCACACTGCTGGTCGTAACGCCCCTGCCCACAGCTGAAGGCAAATTCAAGGTTCTGTTTTAAACCATCATTCTGAAAAATTAATAATTTTTCTTCTAAATAAACCTGATTAAGCGGCTAAAGATTGAAAAGGCAATAAATGTTATGTTACTCAAACTTACAATCAATGTTAGATAAACAAATGCTTTGCTCTCCTCTCCACAATTCAAACATTTGAGCTAAAAAAAATCCAAAAAATAATAACCAGGGGGAAACTACAGGGGGTATGGGTAGGTGAGTTTGATGGGGGTAACACCCCCATAAAAAAGCAAAACAGTTTGTAGGTAACTGGAAACAAGCAACAGTACAATACTTTTAAGTAGCTTCTAAAACTGTACTTTTAGTGGTATTGCTTTCTTAATATGAAAACACTGCATAAGGAGTGAATTCTCTAATGTGGTAAAAATCTTACTAGATGGAATTAGTCTTTGTTTTGCTAATCACTGATAATCCATGGAAATGAGTTAATACCAGCAGTAATCCATTGGACGGCAAATGGTTTAGGCCCCAAATGGTCAACCAAGCATAAATATGTTAAAAAGCAACAGGGGGTAAGGGGACAAAAACACTGCCGAGTATTTACTTCATAAAATGGTGGTTTTTCAACATTTCAAAAACACTCAACTGTATTAGGATAGGAAGAACATAAGATAAAATCAAGATGTTTAAAATAGCAATATGCTTTCCTTCCATTGTTAAATTAAATTGTATTGTAACTTGCATTTGCTGCAAAAAAGCTTTTGACATGATAGAAAAATAGTATTTAAATCATCCAAAAAAGAGTTTGGCACACCTCAGGCAAAACATTTTGACTTTAGCAAAGTCTTTTACGTAAAGATTATTCTACAACTTTGTGTTAAAAAAGGACCACTTGCTTAAAGTCAAGCATAGAAAAGGAAATCACTTGAAATATTACCTTAAAACATCCCTAGCCTTCATTACGTCCTTCATTGGCTACTGTCCTGACTGTATCATCCAGGCATGTCTGGAGCCAGGGGGACTAGAGGGCTACAGTCCCATCCCTTTCAGGTTTTGGCATCAAAGATAATGGTAGAAAAACTATCACAAAAGTTTGCCAATTGTCTACAGCCCTCACCCCAAACTATGCTCCGGTGTCCTCTCATTGTTCTTTTATATCTGGTATCACCATATATCTACTACCATTACAATGGTTTAATTTTTGGCAGAGAATTATCCAGTTTCTTTATAAGTTTAAACTTTAAGTAAAAAATCTACAGTCTGTGTTTGAAAAATCTTAACTCACCTTTAGATACCATCGAAAATCTTCCCCTTCAGGTGTAAGGCTTGTCACACTCTCCATGTCAGCTTTAATCTCCAGAGCTATATGCTGAAAAAACATTTGATAAGTGAGATATAAAATTCCCTTCAAAAAATTATTCTACACGACAATAGAATAAAGGTGTAACTTTTAGTTTGCTTTCTTCAACTTTTGTCTTTCCTTGACCTTACAATGGCTTTAATGATAAGCGACTGGCTCCATTTTCAAATTTTAAATAATTTCCTACAATGTAATAAAGTAAGAAAACTTTTATTACCGCAAGCAAGATAAAAAAATAGAACTAAGATAGTCTAACTGAAACCCCTCGATTTACCTCCCTTGTCACATCCTGATTCTCTGTGAAACAGGCTCTTTTGTCTGAAACAAGATTACCTTTGAAATAGGCAAGCTTTGACAAGGCAAATAGCCATTGCTCTTTACATTTCTATCATGTTTAGTATGGTTTCTAGCCACCCTTCCACCACCAACTTTTGTGTCTTTATAGAGGCAAAGAGAGGATTTGATCTATTTGTGATCTATTTTTGGCCACTAGTTCTCAGCTATGTGTGCCAATAGAACCTACTGTTAGCGATTGAATAATAGTTTAAAAATCAATCAAAACGTCATTTTGCCCCCGGGAAGGGCATACAAACATGAAATTTGGCAGAGGAAAAGTGGCTAGAAACTGTACCAAAACATGATAGAAATGTAAATTGAGGGTTTTAGTTCGACCAGCTTAGTTCTATTATTTAATCTTGCTACAAGGCAATTGTATGAAATTGTAAAACAAAACTTCAAATCTACATGAAGGATGGTTAGTTGGGTTATCACCAGGGGCTGAAATTTTGGGGGGTGATGGGCCACAGCTACTTGTTTTCAACTGACAGTCAAATTTAAAAAGTGAGCTAAAAAGTTAAAAAGACCCTAGTAACACAGCATCTTTGCCATAATGAAGTTTTGTTTTACAATGCACATGATAGGGCCAAAGAAAAAAATATTTGAAATTTTGAAACTGTGGAAAAATTAAATAATAAAGATATCAAGCCCAGCTGCAAGACATGGCCTAATATTCAAGCATCTGAGCAAAAATGAAACAAAACTAAAAGTCTATCTGCTGTTGAAAGAACTGATAGAAAGCATTGGAAGAAATCACTCACTAACAACCACATGATATGTTGAATGAATACAACAAACCTACATTTAAGAGAAAAAGAAGGTCCTATATTACAATGAAAATAAATAACATATCGATTTAAAGAACAGTCACTCTAGATGGGATAAATTAAACATTTCTATTACCACCATTTTGCTTTACGTATAATTGACTTGAAATAATATGAAGATCTTGGACTGGCCTTTTTGCCATTCCCCTTCTCAGAAATGTTAAATGGTTGTTGTTGTCGTTACAAGGCGAGTTTTTAACATGAAGTACTTCTCAAGCCAAAGATGGAAGTGTGTTCACGTTGAAGAGTCGGGGCTGTTAGTATCATTTTAGGTAAAAACAAACGTTATCGACAATTCCTTGAAGTGTCATCAAACAACCTTTTCTTCGATAGAAGAAGAACATGGCGCATAATATATTTCGCAGTCGTACAGTTATGGTAGGGCAAGCTGGTGTGGAAGCCGCCTATCGGTCCTTAATGAGAATACATCGATTCAGTTCATCTTAGCAACACCACCTAGCAACGAGCGCTGGGTGAATACTTGGACGGAAGCGGCCTAGAGATTATTCTAGCAGCGAACAAGTACACAACTCGAGAAGGAAAAAACCATGCCAAAAAGCTGTGTCGCCGTCGGTTGTACAAACCATAACATGATGGAGAAGACTGGCTTGACCTTTCACATTTTTCCAAATAGAATAAAGAAGAAGGAAAAATGGGAGAAGTGGGTACAGGCAATGAAGCGCGTGAACGAAGACGGTAGCACATGGTGTCCTAAAGGAAATTATGTTTACATATGCTCTGAACACTTCATATCAGGTGAGCTAACTTATAAATGCCCGATGGCATTATCTCACTAGTCAAATTTGTAGCCAAATAAACTGTTAAAAGAGCTTAGCATAGGAGGTTGCTTTTTTTCAAGGTAGGCCATATTTCTTTTCAGGTCGACCCTCCAGTGACCCATGTCATCCAGATTTTGTACCAACTATTTTCAAACATAAAGAGATTGACATTCGAAAACGAAAAGAGAAAATTCAAAGGTATGAAAATGCTATCAAGCGAGCTAGAAGTAAGATTCCCGAGTCAAAGGCTGAGCCTGAACAGGAAACAACGACTCCTGACGACGAAGCAGTTATGGTACCCGAGATGGCTGAAGGGCCTAGCACCAGCGAGAACCCAGTCGAAGAGGAAACCATCGATGAAAGAAGAGAAATTGACTTTTTACAGTCTGAGAAAAGGTTTTTAATGACCAAGATTAGCTGTCTGGAGCAACAGGTAGGTCACTGAATGGAATGGTAACTCATTTTGTATCTCTAGAGCTTTCAGCATAAGGCATAGTCCTTCCGTTTTTTATATTTGAAGTTAAATTTGCACCCCCTCCCCTCATCTTTCAAGAACAAATACCTTTACTCATAGATTAAAACTCAAAACTGACTAGCATTTTACCTTCTTTGTAAAAACAGTAGAGGCTTGTTTTTTGTAACCCTAGGCCAATTAATTCCAGGCTTATGTGTGAAATCTGCTCATCCAGAGGTGGATACTTGATTCTTTCAGTACATGTAAATGCTATCATTTTCAATATTTTTTTGAAAAAATCTAAGTTGATTTTGTTCTGCTTTAAGGTATTATTGTCAACATACAACCCAGATGTTATGAAAGACAACAACGATGCCTCAAGATATTTAACTGGCCTTTCCTGGAGTATATTTCAAATAGTGAAAGATGCAATTATACCATTTATGCATAATCCAAGAAAGAATCTGCCACAACAAAATCAGATCTTGATGGTTTTAGTGCGCCTACGTCTCAACCTACCATTTGAGTACCTTAGCATGCAAACTGGCATCTCCCAGAGTACCATTCATTCTTGGTTTCAGAAAATAATTGATATAATGTACAGAAAACTGAAATTCCTTATTCATTGGCCTGACAGAGAATTCATCAGACAGACACTCCCGCCAGTATTTAGAGCCCAGTTTCCAAGACTAACATCTATTGTAGACTGCTTTGAAATATTCATTGAGCGTCCTGCTAATTTGAAAGCCAGAGCCCAAGTGTATTCAAATTATAAGAAGCACAGCACCATAAAATTTTTCATATGCTGCAGCCCTCTAGGAGCAATCACCTTCTTGTCACCTGCTTGGGGAGGAAGAGCCACTGACAACCATATTGTTCGTCAGTCAGGCTTCATTCGTTCTAAATACCATGAATTTGGTGACCAAATACTGGCAGATAGAGGGTTTACTTTGGTTGATGACTTTGCAGTTGCCTGTCAAGCAGAGCTTGTTATTCCTAGCTTCACAAAAGGGAAAAAGCAATTAAGTGCAAAGGAGGTGGAAAATACAAGAAAAATTGCAAACATAAGAATTCATATCGAAAGGGTCATTGGCAACTTGAAGAGGAGATTTGGGATATTATCTCAAGGGTCTCTTCCAATTAGTTTGGTGAAATCAAAAACTAATGAGCTAAATAATGATGACTATCCAAATATTGAAAAATTGATAACAGTTTGTGCATGTCTTATTAACCTAGCACCCAGCATTGTATATAAGGACAGTAGTATTTAAGTTTTGTTACAAAAAGTTAATGGTTAAACATAACAAAATAAGACTCTACTGTTCAGACTGTCTTGATTGTTTATTCTCTTTTTTTGCAATAGTTGCATAGCCACTTTCCTTTTGGGGGCCTCCTCATTCTGATGCAAGAGAAATGAAACCATTCATATTTGCAGGATGGATTGTCACATCCAATCATGTTTTCTTCTCCTGTATCAGGCTTTTGACACACACAGTACAATTTCACTGTAGGGGTCTTTTCTTTGGATTTTTCCATTTCCTTTTCTTTTTCAATTTTCCTTGTAATAAGCTCTTTGGCCACATGGCTTTTATGAAATTTGACAAGACTGTCAATATCATTTTCAAAATTCTTGTCATATGCCACTTTTGTTGCATAGCAAAACTGGGGAGCCCAAACAACAAGAAAACATGTTTCGACCTCATATACAGCCATTTGCATCTGCACTTGGGTCATGTATTTGTGTTTGGTTTTTAATAGAAGATTTTCATTTAGGCAAAAATCTTTGTCAGGAATACATTCTTCAATGTTTTTTTTATCTCTGTGGCTATGTGGGCATTTAACTTCAATGAGAAATTCACCATGGCAGACACATTTCCCTATAGCATCTGCAGAAGCACCTAGAACAGGAAACCTGTTGTGTAATCTGATTCCAGATTTACTTATAACTACGCCTTGATGCTTCTTTTCAAGCTGGCAAGAAAATTCCCTTATGGCATTTTCCTCATTCTCTTTCCCCCAAATAATTGAGGGCACTGGGATAGGCTTGCTTGGCAAACAAATCTTCAAAATTAGAGACTTTGATGGCCTTTCTTGATTGGTATGCAAGACATCAAATGCAATTGATGCTGTAATTCGGCCAGTTCGAACTTGTCTCCAGGCAACTGAATCACTCTGACCTAAGGTTGCATGCTCAATAAAGGCAATGTCATCTTTTGTAACTTTTTCTTCATACATTGACTTCATTATGAACTCAATGTCATCTGTATCAGGACTGTAATAGCTTCTCAGAGGTTTAGGAAGTTTGGGGATTAGGGGCGAGGCTTCTTTCTGGTGAAAGGAAGCTGAAAATTGACTAAAAAGACTCAGTCCAACTGGCTGATCCTTAGCTGGTAGACCCTTCAGTCTTCCAAGAATATTGTTTTGTTGTAGCTCTGATGAGCATGAAAGTGCTGTGCTCCTGGGCTGGGAAGTTCTTTTTTCTGAATTTCTATAAAATAGAATATCTTTGACCTGGGCACCTTGTATTTCAGCAACAAAATCGTTATTCCATTCACATGGCCTCGATGTGCAGGCAACAGATGTATACCCAAGTCGAACTGCTGCCTCAATTTTAAATAACAGGGCAGCAATATGAGAGCAGGACTCTCCCAGTCTGAAAAAAGAAGTAGCATTAAACTCTCCGAATTAGCAAATATTTTTGAAAAAAACATCTTGTTAAAAAAATTACTCAATTACTATGTATCCTTACATTGCAGCTCCAACCCTGCAAGTATAATTACTTAGTATGCTTTCACTCTAAATAAGCATCCACCTTTATACCTTAGTTTGTCTATAGTAAGCCATTATCAAAATTTTTATGAAACCACATTGTTCTACTAGGGCTAATAAGAAAGGGCAGCAAGCGAAGTTTTCTTGAAAAAAGAGAGAAAACTTTGTATGGCAACTTCTCGTAATAATTTATGTAGGTTTCATTGCCCCCAACCCCCATGGCCAATATCCCCTAAAATAAACCTCAAACAAAATTAAAATCTTAATAAGCCCACTATATTTATTGTAACTGTAACCTTATGTCCAGATCATCGAGTCCCTATGACATGTTCATTTACCTACCCTGCCATACAGTTACAATGTGCACATATGATTGTCCCATTGATTTTCGCAGCTACCCAAGGACTTAGTGGCTCCTCGTTAAGTCTTTGAGAATGAAGGACTTTAGCTGAAAGTACGACGATGTTATCATCAGTCTTGAGCGAAACCACTTTTTGAACCCATCCCGACTGGAACTGGTTGTATGCCTCCAAGCTTTTCCAGTTTTTCATTGCTTCTCTTGTGTGTAGGCCTAAAAATCATCGCAAACGGGTAACAATTATTGATACCTATCCGGCCTAAAAAATCAAGAATTTGCAGAAATAGGAATAAATTTCAATCATAAAATAGAAAGAAGATCAATAAATTACCTGGAGTATTTATCAGGTATTCATAGATGTCAGGATATTCTACACTAGGCCATCCACTCATTTCACCAGACCACGAACCTTCTGGCAGACGATATGGGCATTCTTTTAGTTTAATCACCTCCAATTTTTCGAGATATCGCTGTTTTGCTACGGACGTTAATTCGTCAAGGTAACGGTAAGACATTTTCAGCCAGGAAATCGATTCTTTCGCGAAATATACACACTTACTGACGCCGATCTATACTGTTTACGAGTTTTCGCGAGGGGACAGCGTTCCGCTTTCACCCACTGATTCTGGGCGCTATGGCAACGAGCGTCTGTGACGTCAAACCGAATCGATCTATAATGAACACAGAGGGCCTAAGCAGGCATGTTCAACTAAAAAGACGACACGAAAAACCTACAGTTAAAAGGCGAAGATTAGTTTATGAAAGAGCACAGCGAATTTATAATGAACAGATCCAATCTAAAGTAGCTTTTCTTCTAAGAACACAGCGCAAAGAGACACCGTGGAGTTGAAAAAATTATATTGATGCCCAAAGTACAAATTGCTCGTATCGTGTCATCGTTGTCAGAAATTTAAAAAACTTAAATGTTTGGTATAAAGTTTGTTTTTGTTACATTTGAATTCGATTTGTTTCTCTCTGAAAGTTGTTTACCAATGCATGCAACACTAATGCCTATATATCAAATTTTGAGCAGAGTTTTTTCTCCTTACTACCCTACTCTATGAATAATATATGGAGGAAGATAATATTTATTTAAAGTCCGAATATGTTATATATATGACAGGGCACCACACTGTAAAGTATTTTTTCTGCCCTGGGAACACCAGAACAATAATTTTGAAATCTGCGGATAATGAACGTTTCCTGCGAAGCTGTGCATGGAATTTGGGGCAAGGCTTTTGAAAAGGCCTTTTATTTTTTGTTTTCATTTTGTTATCAGAAGCCAGAATGGTCGAATGTTCATGGAGAGCATGACCAGATAAACAAATATTGTGCTCGGAATATATGGCAGATACTTTAAAATGCATAGGCGGAATGAAGAAAAAAATTATTTTTCAGAGAATGCGTTCCCCATGCAGACCAAAGTTTTCAATCTGGACAGGGTATATGTTTCTTTGACATCATGTAAGGCAACCTTCTTTGTGTTTTTTAAGAAAAGATGAAATTTTTTCACATTTATTGTTCTCTGCCACTGGTGCAATGATTTCTTTGAAAGATCTCAGAACCTCCAGGCATGCTACTTGTGAATGCTGCCCATAACTCAGGATTCTGGTAGCTTTTTACCAAAAGTGAACCCAAGATCACCTTTCAATGCTGGCAAAGTTTGTGTATGAAAAACTGAATCAGAGCTGGCCATAGCTTGCAGTGAATCACTCTCCCAAACTAAGCATGAAGGAAAAATGGTTCCCCTCAAAGTACCATTCTTTTTAATTCTGTTGAGATTTAATCAAAGAACCAAAGGGACTTTGGCAACAATTACTTGAAATGATATTGTAGTGATTTTTCTTATTTTGCTTGACTTGTAAGTTTATAAATACATTGTATCTGGTCATGAGAAAGCTTGTCAGAACAACTGAGGCTAATGATTCACAGCTCACAAGCAAAAATACAAATGATTAAGCCTTGCTAAATCCAAGGTTAGCTGATGGCATTCTTTTGGAATGAAGGATGATTGTTAAGAGTTATTGCACCCTCAGATTTCAAACGATTTTCCCCTATGATGAAACAAAGTTGGTCTGAAAAGTACATGGTATTACAGAGGTTTGCCTACCCTGACTAATGCTGCCAACTAGTTGAGTCTACTCCTGCTTTTATCCATTCTTTGTCCTCTAGGTAACATACCCATACCTCCAACTTAGAGTAGAACTGACAAATTGTTTTAAAGATGTGTGTATTATTGGAGCCCTTGAGAAATTCTAGTCATAGCGACTACTCATGCCAGAACCTTAATGAAAAAGGTACTGAATGTAGCCTGGTTAAATTGTCTGACACACATTGTAACCGGTAAATGAAAAAAATTGAATAAGGCAACCAAGTTTGGAATTGGGAGCCCTGCATTTTCTATCTTGTTCAGCAATTAAATAAGGCACATCAACATGATCCCAACTTGAGATTTATTCAATGCAATAAGTTTCATAATAGTTTGTTTTGTAGCAGACAGTTTTTACCTGAAAAAGTGCCTTGGGTGCTAGGGGGAGGTGCTTTTACAAGGGATGACAGCTTTCTAAATTCTTTGTCATATCATTGAGTTAGATTGATTAAAAAGTATGTTTCTTGTTCAGCCATCTTCAATAAAAAATTCCCATTTCTCTTCATTGTCACCAGGTTTGGACAACATTTGTAATTAAGATATTTTTTAAAACTTTGCTTAGTCCCTTGCAGAATTTCTGAAATCTTTGCTTAGTCCATTGTAGAAATTATGTGCTGATGATCAGCAACTTCCTTCACATTTCTTCCCAATTTTCATGGACTAGAAATGTTTCTCATTGAAGCTTACCTAAAAATATGTGGCAAGCAATTCACAGCTTGACTGGCAAAAAGCAAACAACAAGGTCTTGTAAAATATTTAGCACATCAAGTTGTATCAAAAATGCATATTTAATAGGTATTTATGTAATTGAAACATCACAGACTGGACAAATACTCTATCTAGCTAAGCACATCAAATTTTGCCAGAAAACAAAGTTTCAGTTGTACAACTGGCGTAGTTATAAAGTTTCAGTGCGATAGAATTAACGCCAGAAAAAGAAGCTTTAGTTTCATAACTTGCAAAGTTAAAACGTTTTAGTGCTATAATTAAAAGAAGACTGGGTACCAGTACCCCAGTCTAAAAATAGCTTTTGGGGGCATTTTTGAAGCTTGACATATATTCCATTTTACTCAGCATATCGGGTTATATACTTGTACACACAAGATGTACAATTCTAATGCTATGCGTCTGTACTCTAATAAAACTTAGAAAGCAAGTTGTTTGACAAAACGAAAAATTCCCACAGCTATAACTTTTTGCTTTTAGTTTAGCCATCACATTGCTCTTTTAATATATTTTGTTCAGTTTTGCATGTTCTTGCCGATAGTATTATCAGATTTGAAAAGTTCGAAAGTCAAAATTTTGCTGCCCGTGCTTTTTTCGTGCTTCCGGAAACGCAATTTCCGGTCATTTGCCAGAATGTTCCCAAGGCTTAAAATGATCAGTGGTCTCCACTCTTATGATTTAAGCTATAAAAACTTGGGATAGGCAGATTGATTGATTGATGGTTATGCAAAATTCCCTGTCTAACATGAAAGGTTTTAAGGAGCCTCCGGGAAACTTCCCGAGTCCCGGCTGGCCTGGCCACCACACCCCTGAACAAAACCATCCAATCTTTCCGATTTGCAGCATGCGGTAATAGGCTAAAGAGCATGAATGAAGATGTTTCTTAGGGAAGAGAGCATTAATTGTACATGGACGCTACAAAGAATATAGAAATATGCTGTTGACATTGATATGGCATTTTCGGAAATGAAGATTAAAATATTACTGTAGCGCGTTATTGAGCCGGAACAGTTTTATTTTCTTTGTAACATTCTGTAATGGTTCTGCACCACAATGCAGAATATTTCTTTTACGGTTTATTCATGACGTCAATTGTATTATACTAGAATTGTTACTTTGTTCCGGGTTAATGTAGAAAGCAATTCTCTTTACGGGTCATTAAAACTGTTCCGATATATCCGGCCCCAGTATCCGTCCTCTAATGAAATGAAACATCTTGTGATTATGGATGTGTCCTCAAGATTTTATTCTATTCAACTATAAACACATTATTGTCACAGTTACCATTGACTTGCAACCTTGGCATCAGACCTTTATATCGTGCCGTACTTCCGTGATTATCCAGACGCCTCGTATCCCCGGATTTGAAAACGATCCGGATAATCCAGAATAGTGGCTAATCAAATTTTCCAGGAATTCACACACATGGAAGGCAGTGGCGAAGCTAGCGGTCATGCTGGTCATGCTGAGCATGACTAAAAATTTTCAGAGCTAAAGACATTTATTATAATGATTAAAACTTTTCTTTATTGAAAAAGTACCCTCAAAACTCCATTCGTCCAGTTGATTCTTATTATTTCACTGCCCTTCCCTACCTTGGTCCCTTGTGGTTAGTCATGCTCATTCTGGAGAGCATGGCCTGCCATAGGGTTTCTTTCCTCAGAGAGCCCAACCGCTCCTGTGAGTCGGCTGAGTTTCAATGACTTTTCAGTTGGTATCCCTGCGGTAAGTCATGCTCATTTGGAATAGCATGACCTCGTCATTATAATCATAAACCTAGCACTGATTTGATTGGCTGAATTCTATCTTGCGCATGCTATCTTGGCCCGTTTTGGACCCCAAGTCATGCTCATTTTTTTCAGCATGACCGACCTAAATCTCCCATACATGAAGTATCTAAGGTCAACTTGTGAGCTGAGAAACATTGCTGCAAGGGAGTGGGGAAATTCAATCGAAGCTATTTCTGAGATATATTGTTTATTAACTGCTACAGGGATCACTTGCGTGTGGCTGAGCAAGGTAATTGTAAACCAAAATTGTGATTGAAAACCAAAGACCGACCCTTATCGATGGAGAATCCTACCATTACGTTGCTGATCATACCATAACTTGTTGCTGATGGACGAACTTGTACCCTGAAACTTGCCTGTGTATTCAGTATTTCACCAAAACCTCTTGCTCATGGAATTGTACTCTTGGAAATTTCCTGTTTTGTTAAAATCACACAATAACCTGTTGCTGATGGATGGAATTTTACATGATGGTTGGAAATTGCCTGTCCATTCTATCTGGTTTATTCAATATTACAACCTTACTTGTTGCTGAGAGGGACGAAATTGTACTTTGAAAACTTGCCTGTTTATTCAATATTTCACCAAGACCTGTTGTTGATAGAAAGAATTGTTCTCTTAAAAATTTCTTGTTTAGTCAATATTACAACATAACTTGTTGTGTATAAAATAAAATTCAAATTGCATCTTGCAATTTGCCTGTTATTTAATATTACACCATAACTTGTTGTGGATAAATGAAATGGTACCCTGAAATTTGCCTGCATTCAATATTACACCAGCTCTTTTTTTTGATAAATGAAATTGTACTCTTATATTTCCTTGTTTATTCAATATTACTCTATAACTTTTGTTAATACATGTATGTAATTTGCATTGTACCCTATGCAATGCAAATGTATTGTACCCTGTAATTTGCCTGTTATTCAATATTACACCATGACTTGATGCTGATAATGAAATTGCACTTTGGAACTTGCCTGTTTTTGGATATTTGACTACAATTTGCTGATGGATAGAATTTAGAAATGATTTTTAATCACACTATATATGTAGCTTCCACACAGCCAACCTTCTCAGTGCAGTTTGATTTCCCCAGGGCTTTCAGTTGCCAGGAAAACTATGGGGTTTCTTAAACATGGAAGACCAAAGTTATAGGAAAGCCCTTGATGTTGGGCTTGGACTTAACTTGTTGATGTTTATGGCATGTTACACCTTAAATACAGGGGTCAAACCTTTTTGTATATGCTAAACAGTACTATCCTTGATACATTTGTTTTAGATATGTAAAAATTAAGCTTATAAAATTGAAGCTAAGTATAAAATTCTGAACCAAGAAACAAGCATCCCACAATTCC